GTGCCAGTTGAAACAGCCACCCAGATTTGTGTGAGTTTTTGTGCGGAGACCCGCTGTGCTGGCTGAAACAGCTGTGCTGGAAACTTGTAGCGCTTTTCTACCCGGGAATCTCCTGGTCTGTGGGCAGTAAAAGCTCATTTGGAAATGCGGTGATCACTCACCCTCTGCATTCTCGCTGGGAACAACTGCACTCCAGAGCTGTTTCTATTTGGCCATCTTGGATACCTCCCATCTGCTGTGGAATCTTTATGATTCATTTTTTTCTTTATAATTTTCATTGGTTGGAAAAATTTAAATACCAGTTATCAAAACAACAAAAGCCAAATTTCCATAAGCCCACCAGACTTACTTATGGGATTCCCCCCATATATTTATCTGCAATTGTATGACTTAAAATGAAGTCATAACATATAAATTATTTGTAACCTAGCACAATTTTTGGATCTCTCTCTCTTTTTCTTTCTTTCTTTCTTTTTTTTTTTTTTGAGACAGGGTCTTACTCTGTCACCCAGGCTGGAGTGCAGTGACACAATCTCAGTTCACTGCAGCCTCAACCTCCCAGGCTGCAGTGATCCTCCTGTCTAAACCCCCCACATAGGTGGGACTACAGGCATGTATCACCACACCTGGCTAATTTTTTGGTATTTTTAGTAGAGACAAGGTTTTGTCATGTTGCCCAGGCTAGTCTTGTACTAGATCACTTTTTTAAATAAACTTTTTATTTTAGAACCGTTTTAAATTTCTATAAAAATGTCAAGAATAGTATGAAGAGTTCTCATACATCCCACACCTGATTATCTGTTATTAATGTTTTCCATTAATATGGTACGTGTGTCACAATGAATGAACCCAGTACTGATATGTTGTCATAAACTAAAGTCCACACTTGACTTGGACTTCCTCAGTCTTTCCCTGCTGTCCCCTTTCTGCTCCAGGACCCCCTCCATGACACTACATTGCATTTAGTCACAGTCTCCTTAGGCTCCTTTGGATGGCGACACTTTCTTAGACTTGCCCTGTTTTCAATGACCCTGACAGTCTTGAGGAGGACTGGTCAGGTATTTTGTAGAATGTGCCTCCATTGGTGTTTGTTAGATGTTTTTCTCATGATTAGACTGGGATTTGGAGTTTGAGCACAGACGTGCAGGGCCATCACCATCACACACAGTCAGGGACACACACTGTCTACAGGACTTACCACTGCTGATGCTTACCTGGTCACCTGGCTGAGGGTGTTTGTCAGATTTCTCTACTGTAAAGATACTCTTTTCTACCCCGATTCCACATGGCACCTACCCTTTGAGAGCAAGTCACTAAGCACAGCCTGTATGTAATTAAGGAGGGGGAGTTATGCTTTGTCTTCCTAAGGACAGGGTATCTATATAAATTATTTGGATTTCTTCTGCGTGGGAGATCTGTGTTTGCCCCCATTTATTTATTTAATCCTTTAAATCCAAATCAGCATGGATTCATGAATATTTATTTTTTACTTTGAGTTATAATCTAATGTTTTTTATTTTCTTACCTAAATTGTTCCAGCTTTGGCCATTGGGACCTCTTGCAGTTGGCTCCTGTGTCCCTTTGACTTGACCTCTTTGGTGTGTGTGTGCGTGTGTGTGTGCTTGTGTGTGTGCATGTGTGTGTGTGTATGTGCATGCATGTGCACACGCACACACATTTATCACTTTCTGGCACTAAAAGACCTTCTAGGCTCCTCTTGTATGTTTCCTGCCCCAGTCCTGGAATCAGCCATTTCTCCAAGGAGCCCCATTCTTTCACTGGAGAATGGTATTAAAAGGCAAGGTCTTTCTCAGCTCACAGAACAAGACGTTATGCGTGCATGCCAACCTGTGTGTCTACACACATCTTTAAATATTTATCTATGTAACCATGTGCATCGACATAGAGCTTACCATGAGTTCATACTGATGTCTCCAGTGCTAACACATTACCCATGGATCATTCTAGCTCCTTTCCTTGCTTATGGTATCAATCTAAACTTACCAAGAGCTCTATGATCATTTTCATTTGATTAAATTTAAAAATATTTTATGAAATATTCTACAAAAACATCATGTAGTTGTTTATTTATTCATTGTCACCCAGGCTGAAATGCAGTGGCACAGTCCTCACTGCAGCCTCCACCCCCCCAAGCTCAAGCAGTCCTCCCACCTCAGCCTCCTGAGTAGCTGGGACCACAGGTGCATAATACCATCATGGCCAGCTAATTTTTAAAATTTTCTTTTATGCAGAGACTGGTTTTGAACTTCTGGCCTCAAGTGATTCTTCCACCTTGGCCCCTCAAGGTGCTGAGATTACAGGCTTGAGCCACTGCACCCAGCCCATTTGGCTTTTTGCTTTTTATCTAAATATAGCTGTTAACGATGTCAAGATTAAGGGTGAGCTAAACAAAGGGGGCAAAATAGTTTAACACAGCAGGAAAAGGGGGAAAATCTGGAAATGCATTGGTACTTAAAAATTAGGTGCCAAGCCGGGCGCGGTGGCTCAAGCCTGTAATCCCAGCACTTTGGGAGGCCGAGGCGGGTGGATCACGAGGTCAAGAGATCGAGACCATCCTGGTCAATATGGTGAAACCCCGTCTCTACTAAAAATACAAAAAAGTAGCTGGGCATGGTGGCACATGCCTGTAATCCGAGCTACTCAGGAGGCTGAGGCAGGAGAATTGCCTGAACCCAGGAGGCGGAGGTTGCGGTGAGCCGAGATCGCGCCATTGCACTCCAGCCTGGGTAACAAGAGCGAAACTCCGTCTCAGAAAAAAAAAAAAAAAAATAGGTGCCAAAAAATCAGTGAAGTCTGGGATGTCAGCAAGAATGGTGGGTACACAGCCCCATGGGCCTGCCCCACAAAGAAACGTTGAAAAATCTAATAACACTTCAGAACCAACTTCATCAAAACTTTGAAAAACAGTCAGAGGTTTACAGCAACCAAGCAAATGCTGAGTCAAGAAAAAGGCAGGCTGGGTGTGGTGACTCACGCTTGTAATCCCAGCACTTTGGGAGACCAAGGCGGGCAGATCATGAGGTCAGGAGTTTGAGACCAGCCTGGCCAACATGGTACAACCCCATCCCTACTAAAAATGTAAAAATTCGCTGGGTATGGTGGCAGATGCCTGTAATCCCAGCTATTCAGGAGGTTGAGGCAGGAGAATCACTTGAACCCAGGAGGCAGAGGTTGCAGTGAGCCGAGATCACACCACTGACCACCAACCTGGGTAACAGAGTCAGGCTCCATCTCAAAAAAAAATAAATAAATAAGGTAGAGCCTTGTGATGACTGTCCTTGCCCTCCTCCCACCCGTCAATCTTGAAGGCAGCAGCATGTTCCTAGCATGGGGCCTGGTCCCTGCTTCTGGAGGCAGAGCACACCTTACTCGAAAAAAAGTGGGTGTTTATTCTCACTAGTGGCTGCCTAAGGGCTAACACAGGGGCTTGTCATTGTTTCACCTAACTCAGAACCCACTTGCTGCAGAAGAGTGGCAGACGTTGCTTAAAAACATTGTAAGGCAAATAACTTCCAGCTGTCTGGAGCTAAAAATTATATAGTTGAGGCAAACAATGGAGCACTGAAAGCTCTGGAAGAAAAACTGAGGAGAGAGACACTTGGAAATTAGAGCATTCAAAAGTACCTGTAGATACTGGGAAATGTAGAAAGCCCCACACATGTCCAGGGAGCTTGCATGCTCAGAAGAGATCTAGTAAGACCTGAGCTTTCACCTGGGGCTGGTCTCTATGCTCAGTGCAAGCAGGAAGTGAAGGCTAAGGTAGAGCTGTGAACAGCCTGGCTAAGTAATGAAGCAGGCACTAGCATAGAGCCAGCCACAAAACAGACTGGGAGAAGTTTCTGTTACTTTTTCTGTTCTCTGTTTCTCTCTCTCTCTCTCTCTCTCTCTCTCTCTCTCTCTCTCTCTCTCTCTCTCTCTTCCCCTCCCTCCCCCTCCCCCTTTCTCTCCCCCTTCTTTCCGTCTCTCCCTCTCTCTCTCCTCACTCCCTCCCCCTCTCTTCCTCCCTTCCCCTTTCTCCCTCCCTCCCTCTGCCCCCCTCAGCTTCTGAATCTGAGATGCCCACTCCATCAGGAAGGACTGGTGTAGATGACAAGGATGTTTACGAAAGCAGCAGGCAGGCGGCAACACCCAGGGCACATGGCAGGCTGCCTGTCTTTTGGAGGTGCTCTTGGAGGAGGAGGGCCTCTTGGTGGTGCTGGGAGTGCCCTGGAGCTCCTGTGCTACTCAGATGTCTCAGCTTTAATCTCTGGAGATTGCCGTGGTTCAGATGCCGGTCAGATATCGAGTTGATCCTTATTCTATCTGAATGCTGTAGCCCCAGGGTGGGCTCACCCCCATGGCCTCTGTCTGTGGGAGGCCAGTACAGAGCTGCTCATCCAGTCAAGCGGTGGGACTAGATAGGCCTAGAAACCAGCCCCCCACCACTGCAGCAGACACAGACATGGCCCAGGCCCAGGCATGCCAACATGGGGGATGGGCTTTCCTGAAGTTGGGTGGGCATGCCTTTGATGAAAGCAGTTTTGGGTTTTGATTTGTGGACGCCCAGGAATGTGGGATGGTGTTTGGCCAGCAGCAGCTGCTGCAGCCTCACCATAGGTATCTGCCTGGGGCCCTTACCAAGCTGGCACCACAGGTGTGGAACATCTCCCTGCCAGTGTGCCAGCTGCCGTGAAACCGTGAAGAATTTCCAGAGGAAGCACAGTGATGGGGCGTGTGGTTAGACTGCCCTGCACTGACAGTGCCTCCCATGCCTGAACACCAGGCGTCCGCAAACTTTTTACACAGGGGGCCAGTTCACTGTCCCTCAGACTGTTGGAGGGCCACCACATACTGTGCTCCTCTCACTGACCACCAATGAAAGAGGTGCCCCTTCCTGAAGTGCGGTGGGGGGGCCAGATAAATGGCCTCAGGGGGTCACATGTGGCCCCCGGGCCGTAGTTTGGGGACGCCTGCTGAACACACATGGTCTCTCCATGCAGGAAGGACGTGCCTGTGGAACACGTGACACATGCAGACAGAGAGCAAACCAAGAAGGTGGTGTACTCGGTGGTCTATGGAGCAGGTAGGCTGCGGGCCAGGAACCAGGGTCTCGGGGTCACCTGTAAGCTGGCAGCCGTGTATCTGTGTTTAAACGTGGCTGTGACTCAGAGATCATCTGTGAGTCCCTGGGTGTTATTTATGCTCTAATGACACCTGCGGCCCCCAGACACTGGCCAGACCACCCCACACCTTGCCCTGCTCAGAGTCACAGCCAGCCTCTCGGGAGGCCAGGGAGGTGGGCGGGTCCAGTGTGACGAAGCCGTTGGCCCCACCTCTACACCATACCACTGTGCTAGGCACCACTGCTGTGCTTGGAGAGCACAGGTCTCCTTTGAGGAGACCCTGGTCCACACACATGCCAAGGCATGATAAAGTTAGACAGCTTAGCCTCAAGGTGTACAGTGCTTGGACTCACTGCCACATCTCAGCACGCACCGCAGCTCCCTAGGGCAGAGCTCTCCCAGCTGGGCCACGCAGCCAAAGCACCCCACAGGGGGCAGAGCCAGGCCTTGGGCTGTGAGCAGGGCAGTTGGGGTCCAATGTCAGGGGCAGCAGACAGGAGAAAGTGGGGCTAGGCCAGGAAGGGCTGGAGGGCCAGAGGTTTGGGCTGCCTGGGGCCTCTTCTGCAAGCATCCCTCTCCCCTCCCCTTTTCTCTTCCCTTCTACTCCTCTCCCTCCTTCCCCCTAGCCCCCAGCGCCAACACCCATGTCAGAGCAGGCCGTCTACTCTCTTTCACTCTCCCTTCGACTCCCTGACACGGGCTGTCCGAGACTTTAATTCTTTTCTGGCCCTGAGTGATGCTGAATCAGTGTGGCCTAATTTCCCCAGCCAGCCAGCTCCTTAAGCCTGTTCAGACCTCCTTTCCCTATGATGAGCTCTGCTTTGAGCAGCAGGGCTTGTGCAAAGCCTCTGAGAAGAAGATTCACCACCCTACCATGGAAACCCTTTGTATATTCACAGAAAGGCAGCAAAACCAAACAAGCTTCAGGGGAAGAATCACCGGGCAAGCACTTCATAGATTGTCCCTAAGAGCTGCCCGGCAGTCTCCATTGAGACTGTGGTGCTGCTGGATGAGCGTCCAGAGTGCCCCACGCCTGGACTGTGGCTGGATGGCCTGTCTTGAACCGCAGCCAACCAGCCAGGCCAGCTCCAGCCTCAGGGCTTTGCGCTGCTGTTCCGCCTGTAGAAACACCTGCCCCTGCGCCCCCAGAGCCCACCCGCGCTTCTGCAGCCCTGCGTTCAACTCTCCCCGTACAGACTTCCTCAGCCACAGTATTGGTTTCCCACTTCTGTGTAACAAATTGCCACAGACATAGTGACTTAAAATAATACATACTCTCTCACAGTTTCTCTGGGTGTGTGCATGCCATAGCTGGGTGCCCTGCAGGGCTGCAGTCAAGGTGCTGGCTGGAGCTGTAGTTGCATCTGTGGCTCGACTGGGGAGAGATCCATTTTCTTGGCTTCTGTTTCTTTTTTGTTTGTTTGTTTGAGACAGTCTCACTCTGTTGACCAGGCTGGACTGTAGTGGCGCAGTCTTGGCTCACTGCAACCTCCAGCTCCCAGGCTCAAGCAATTCTCCTGCCTCAGCCTCCTGAGTAGCTGGGATTACAGGCGTCTGCCACCATGCTCAGCTAATTTTTCATATTTTTAGTAGAGACAGGGTTTCACCATGTTGGCCAGGCTGGTCTTGAACTCCTGTCCTCAAGTGATCTGCCCACCTTGGCCTCCCAAAGTGCTGAGATTACAGACATGGGCCACCATGCCCAGCTGACTTCTGTTTCTTGCTGGCTGTCAGCCAGAAGTGGTCCCAGCTCCGTGCCACGTGGGCCTTACACTTTGGGCAGAGCCTGCATCTTGGCAGCTCTGCTCTTTAAACCAGCAAGGGAGTGAGAGACGCCAGCTCTGCACCCGCTCACCTGTTCATGGACTCATGCTCCAGTTCGAACATGGGCACCTCAGAGATAGGAGCTCATCAGCTTAACTCACTGCCTGGCACAGAGAAGACACAGGAACAAATTAGTGGACTTGGTGGTCTCAGCTCCACTTTTGAAAACATTTTGATTGTGTGCATGGTTTTTGGAAAATAGACTATGAAACTTTGTTTTAAAGAACTAGATTCTGTGAGTGACCATAGTGTGACATTGGATTGATTCTCCTCAGAGTTGACTTGGTCCACTGCCTTCTCTTGGCCTCTTTCTTCTGTGCTGCACCCCTGAACCTCCCTGGGTCCCAGTCTTGTGGGGAAGGCATCACTGCCAAATTATATGAGAGTTTGTTGCCTTGCATCCTTGCTCTGGCATCTTGTGTGGCAAACATAACATTTGCTTCTGCTCTGCCAGCAGGACATCGCCTCCCCAGTCCTGGGCCAGGCAACCTGGGCTTGATCCCAACCCTGTCACCTCCTTGACTGCGCGGTTCGTACAAGGCCCTCTGCCTCCCTGTGCCATCTCCTCTGGGGAATGCTCTCATAGGGTGGTGGGGGCCACACCTGGCACACAGTCAGCTGTCATCTCTGTCATCTGCCCTTGCGTCTGAGTCCTGCTGCGCTTCTGCACCATGTCAATTCATGCCTCCAAGTGACTGATCTATAGGTCTCCTGTGCCAGCCCTGGCCTTGTCTCCAGCCGGGGCAGCCACCCCACTTCCAGCTAGGAGGACGGATTGGAGACTGAGCGTGCTGAGCACCTGCTGTGGAGCAGGCTGTGCCCCCACCTACCCAGAAAAAGGTGGTCTTCTCTGCCACCCCTTTGGCTCCTTCTGGAGTATTCACTTTCTTTCTTTCTTTCTTTCTTTTCTTTTCTTTTCTTTTCTTTCTTTCTTTCTTTTTCTTTCTTTTTCTTTCTTTCTTTTCTGGAGAGGAAAAGAACTACATTTTGTAAATAAGCAGTGAGTCATGAGCCTAATGTTGAAAAGGGTAATTTGGCTGCTTTTAGCTGTGACAGTGACACAGGTTCCCACCCTGAGCCTCCCATTGTTTCGGTCTGGCTTGACAGCTGGAATTACTGTGCATCTGCTGCTGTGGGCTCAGACTGTGTCTCTGTTTTCCTCATGTTGGAAACTTTGTCACATGAGCTGGGACTCAGGAAGCCAGGTGAACTTGCCAGGCCTCCCAGGCTGCTGGGGACCCCTTGGAAACTCTGTAAAGGAGCTGGTTTTCAGTGGATTGCAGTGCCGTGTTTTCAGTTAACACACCTCTGAAGGGCCCACAAATGCTGGGGGGGTGGGGCAGGGCATGGTTCCTACACATTCTTGAGAAATGGGCAACATGACCGTTGTGAAGGCTGCTATGAAAGCAGCAGAGGAGGCAGCAGGACTGTGTGAGAGGCAGGGGAGTGCGCCGACTGCTGGGTCTGTGTGCTCTGCCCCCACAGCCGCTGTGGAGGAGCTGGCAGGGAGCACGCGGAGTGACAGAGCGGCCACTGTCCGGGAGCCTTGACCCCAGAGGCCGGCTCACTGCTCACTGCTCCTCCATCAGTCGACTGAATTCAAATGCCCATTAGCTTTGCAGGCACCTCCCCAGCCTGACGGCCCTGCTCACAGCCGCTGCTGGGCCCAGCAGGAATCTGCCTTCTCCTGGAAGCAGCTCCTGACCCCTGGGTCTTTCTCTGAGCACCTATTGCTCCTAGAGTCAAGCCCTTGAGTCTTCTCGGGTGACTCCATGACTCAGATTAGCCTCCCCATCCAGTCATCGTGCAATCAACAGGCCCTTGCTGAGTGCACGTGCACGTCATCTCACCTGATGCCTGCTCCCAAGGTCTTGCGCCCATGAGCAGAGACCCAGGAGCAGGCCTGGGCACACAGACTACGCCATCAGTGCATCTGCAGGAGTCCCTGGTGCCAAGGGAGCCAGGGGAGGGCCCCAGCCTGGGGAGAGTAGGGAGAGTTCAGGGGCCAGCCCAGAACAGCAACCCCTGAGCTGAGTTTTGAAAGCAGCATAGGACTTAATGTCAGATCTGCTCCAGCCAGACCAGCCATGTTCCCGAAGGCCCACTGTGTGCAGGCACCTGCTCGGCCCTAGAGACACAAGCAGAAGTGAAAACCTGTCAGCAACGTGTGTGGGGCAGAAGGGCATGTGGAGAAAAGGGAGGGAAGACTCCGTGCTGAAGTTAAAATGGCAGCACACTCACATACCTAGACTCACCCACCGGACAGGATTAGCCGTCTGGGAAGAGTCCAGTTGTGTGTTCATGTAGGATGTCAGAGGAGGGAGTACTCAGTGCCCCCAGCATGCAGATCTCTCAGGACCTGTGTGTAAAACAGGATCAACAGAATGACAGTGCAGGGGCAAGTTCTATGAAAAGAAGGAGCAGTCCACAGGAAGCGTGGGACAGAGAAGTCCCCACAGAGCCAGAAGCCAACCTGCTTGGGGAAGGGACAGCAGCCTTTTAGTGTGACAGCCCCACTGCTAAGAGTGTCCAAGGAGTGAGGAGCAAGGACCCAGGGCCTGGGAGGCCTCTCAGACTCTCAGGCTCCATATCAGTCTCTTGTCCCTGCTGCTGTGGAATCACTGTGCCGTCCGCACTCTTGTGGATGGGACTTCTTCACGCATAGGGACTGGGGCCACCCACTGCTCTTTGGAGGTCCTGACAGCTCCACGTCACCCCCAGTGGAGCAGCCCTCCCACAGGGATCAACTATAAACTGTGGAAAATGTCTAAAAAGACAACTACTCAGAGGCATTGGGAAGCGACCAGAGCAGTAGAAACTGGAGGTCAGCTGACACCTGGAAGAAAGGAATGCTGAACTCTCATTCTATAGCTCCTCACCTGAAGGCAACCTCACTCGATGCTGTGTGGACAGAAACTCTGCTAGGAATGTGCAATCCTACTAGCTGGAATAACTGGAGGACAGAGTTCTGGGCAACCAGAGAATCTGGAAACTGAAGGGGAAAATTCCAGAAAGAATAGAGCCAGGAAATGAGGCCAAGTTCTAGGCATGAACTCTGCTCAGATCTTGGCTGACCCCTAACTATGCATGAATAGGGCAGACTTCAAACAGCCCAGATGCCGAGCAAAAAGGACGGGACTGAGATTTCAGTGTTTTCCCACTACAAGGAGACAGAGTTTGAAGTTCGATTTTAGCTGAACTAAGTGCCCCTTTAAAAAAAATTAGTACTCCTTAGCCAGGCATGGTGGGCATACATCTGTAGGCCCAGCCACTCAGAAGGCTGAGGCAGGAGGATTGCTTGAGCCCAGGAGTTGAAGGCTGCAGTGAGCTATGATCACACCATTGCCCTCCAGCCTGGGTACAAACAAGACACTGTTTCAAAAAAAACATAGCACTCCTCGGAAGAACATAACAGGATCCAAAACTCTACACATATCTCACATGATGTCCAGCATGCAACACCAAATTCCTGAACAGGAAGAAACAGAATAACTTGACCATACTCAAGAAAAGGCAATCATGGAAGCAGATCCTGAGATGACTCAGATGTTAGAATTAACAGACAAGGATTTTAAAGTTGCTCTTAATAACTAAGCTCAAGGAAGTAAAAGAAAGTATGCTCACAATAAATGAAAAAAGGAAAACTTCAACAAATAAAATTCTAAAGTGGAAATTCTAGAACTGAAAACTGCATACCCCAAATAAAAAATTTGGCCAGGTGTGGTGGCTCATGCATTTAATCCCAATATTTTGGGAGGCCAAGGTGGACGGATCACAAGATCAGGAGTTCAAGACCAGCCTGATCAACACGGTGAAACCTTGTCTCTTCTAAAAAAAAAAAAAAAAAAAAAAAAAAAAAAAAAAAAAAACCAAAATTAAAATTAACTGGGCATGGTAATCCCAGCTACTCAGGAGGCTGAGGCAGGAGAATTGCTTAAACTTGGGAGGCAGAGGTTGCAGTGAGCCAAAATTGCACCACTGCACTCCAGCCTGGGTGACAGAAGGAGACTCCGTCTCAAAAAAAATTCACCATGTGGGCTTAACAGCAGACTGGAGGTAAGAAAAGATTTGTCTAACAAGATACTCAAGGCAAGTCCCGTCTGGCTGACCTTGTGTGTCTAGCTGCCATCTGACTTCTTTCTGAGAGCCAATGGAATTTTTCATTGCAGTGCCATAGCTGAGGCACTAGGTAAGTGTGGTGATTGGAATTTGACAGAAAGAAAGAGCCATAGATGAATTATTTCAGTAAAGTGTAGCAAAACACATAACTTATTTGTAAAGATATCACAATAATAGGTCTGAAGCCCTAAAAGGGATATTGGAGATTTTTCATCTCCAGCCAAATGGTGCGAGTCCGTCAGTCCATCTGGGCATAGAAGGATCATGACTTTATCCCTCTCTGCTGGGATAAACTTTGGGAGGACAGGGCACCCCAGGCCTTCCCACTCTTGCTGGCAAAGCAGCAGAAGCAAACACCTGCCCTTTCACTCTCCCAAGACTTGAATATTCTCTCTGTCCAGAGCTGCTATGCCATCAGCTGGCCAGGGCCAGGAGTGGCCTGGCTGAAAGGAGGGCTGGATCAGAGAGGCCAGTCGGTCCCATTCCTCCAGAGGGTTCTTCCCTGGTCTTCACAGACCCCACACCTTCACCCCCTGGGCCATGGTTTCTGCACCATCCTGTCCAGAGGTCCCTGGAGCACCCTGTATGACAACCCCAGAGTTAACCTCACACAGAGGACAGCAAGACCACTGCTGGTCCCAGACATGCTGCCCCCAGGAAGGCAGGTCTTCAGGCTGCTTGTCTCTCTCAGGTTCCTTCTAACCATACACCACTCCCCAGAGCCACAGCTTTCCCTAGGATTCCACTGTCAAGCAAGGGATGATGTCCTCGTGGATTCCTCATTCTCTACACCACTATTCTCTTCTGGAGGAAAACGGGAGGGAATGAGTGTATATTGAGTACCAAGTGGGAACCACACACTGCTTAGAGCTTCCCATGCCTTGGCCCATGGGGCTCCCAGCTGGGGATAAGGGCTCTCGTTCCTAATATACAGTGAAGGAACAGGCTTTACTGTGGGTTGGGCAACACCCTCAGGGCCACACAGAACCTCCTGGTGGGACTGGGCCCAGAGCCAGGCTTCTGTGGTCACTGGACCTGCTCACATGCTTGCTGGAACTCAGCCGCTGCCCAGCCAAAGACATTTCTTTATTTCTTTTGTTTTTAGTAAATAGAAACAAGCCCTCACTTTATTGCCCAGACTGATCTTGAACTCCTGATCTCAAGTGATCTCCCTGCCTCAGCCTCCTAAAGTGCTGGGGTTACAGGCGTGAGCCACCATGCCCAGCCCAACCAGAGACATTTCCACCAGCAGCGTCACAGGAACACCTGCGTCTTCTAGAACAAAATGTTGAACTCCAGAGGACCATTTTCTCGTGCTTTGGCCATGGAACTTTCCCTTCCTCTTTTCCTCTGTGCCCCACTCTAACCTCCATAGTTCTTGAATTGGGTCCGCGCTAGCTGCACTGGGAGGAGGGACCGTGTCTACTTCACCACCGTGTCACCTGAGACACCCGGCAGGCGCTGGTCAATATCATGGAATAAATATATGTGTCGCAGGCCCCAGTCCGCACTGACTGGCACCTAGCACTCCACTTGTAAAGCCAGCGCCAACTTCATCCCAACCCATCAGAAGAGACCAGTGCTGCCAGCTGGACGTGACTCACTGAGCCCATGCACGTGGTCACGGCTGGTCTGAGTGAGGCCTTGACACGCATCTCTCTGACTGACAGGGAAGGAGCGGCTTGCTGCTTGCCTTGGAGTTCCTGTTCAAGAAGCTGCCCAGTTTTTGGAGAGTTTTTTGCAGAAGTACAAGAAAATCAAGGACTTTGCCCAAGCAGCTATTGCCCAGTGCCACCAGACAGGTGAGTTGGCCACAGCCAGAGCTCCCTGCTCCCTGCTCACCCTCTGTGGGAGGATAGGGGGATAGCTGGGTGGGTGGTATGTGGGTGGGCCCTGGGTCCTGAGGTTGGTTGGGGGCGTGGGCGAATCCTCAGCTCTAGTTGGACAAATAGGGCTGAAGATTCCACACGAGAAGGGACCAGAGTCTGGGTGGCTTGCAGCAGCACAGTGGACAAACTCGAGTGACTAGATGGTGGATGGGCAGGCAGGTAAAACAGACACAAGCCTGCACCTGGAAGGGTGGAACATGGATTCTTACGGAAAGCACCGGTGCATTTACAAATATCACCACAATCAGGTCACAAAGGAAACCCAAATGAACTTCGGAGAATACCAAGCAGAACATACTCTGTGACCAGAGTGCAGTGAAAAGGCGGTTTCGTATATGTATGTCTGTGTCTGTGTAGCCGTGCTTCCATCTACCTATTTGGAAATTGATTATACTCCTCATAATTTAGGATTAAAAAAAGAAATCCTAAGAAAATGACAAAAATGTTAGAAATAAATTACAGTAAACGTTATCTCATCAGGAACTGGGGTGTGGCTAAGCTGACACCTCACTTAGACATAAAGGAATCTTTTAAAGGTGTATTTTTAAAAGAAAGAGAAAGTTGTGGGCATAAATGAGTTGTGTTCTACACAAGAAATCTGGAAAAGAGTGGCCGAGAAAAAAAGGAGGAAATCAGTGGGAGAGCAGAAATTAATAAACAACAGAGAGGAAGACGACTAGCCGGCAGAGGAAGGGCGCTCACAGCACTCAGCACTCACCACAAGTGAGGAAATCAGCCAAGAGCTGGCCTCAGCAGGACCAGCATCCTAGATGTCATAGCCTGTGTCCTCTGGGTGCAGCCTCGGGGACCCTCTCCGTGAGCCTCTCGCAGTGACTCACTGATGACTTTTCATCCTGGGGCCTGTACCCAAGCCCCAGGAGCTCCAGGCAGCCCAGCTACAGGCTCCTCATTGGTCTGACAGCAGGCGGGCAGGTGAGCGGCATCTATGCCACAGCCCGTGCTAGCCCGGAAGGGGAGCCTCCACGGCACGTGAGACGTAAGCTCCGTGCTCCCCTGGAGTTTCCAGTCCGCAGGGGACACAGTGAATCCACAAGCATCTGGACAAGGACAGGAAGGGGGTGTCCAGGTGTGAAAGGAACAGAGCAGCAGCAGAGGCCCCAAGGGAGCTGTGCCAGCCTCAGCCTCACAGAGCCAGCCACCTGAGCAGAGACAGGAAGGGCCAGGAGGTGTGCCAGCATGGGCAGGTGGGACCAGAAAACAGGTAGGGCCAGGTGAACCAAGGCTACGCATGACACTCCGTGCAGAAAGAACCTAAGCTTTGTCCTTCAAAAATGACTCCAGTCACGACGTGAGAAAGAGATTTGAGGTGCACTCAGAGCCAGCCCTGAGAAATCTAGAAGCAGGCAGGCATTAACACAGTAACTGAGAAGGGGCAGAGGGAGAATGGCAGGTAGGATGTCAAGGAAGCATCAACAGCTCAGGAGCCAGCTGGGATCTCAGATGCCTCTCTGGCCACCAGCGTGAAGAGGCCAAGCCTTCAGGGATCAGTGTTCTCCACAGGGCACTTGGCCTGCCCCGGCTAATGCTGACTATGATGCTGGCCTCCCCAAGGCCCTGGGAGAGGCCTGCAATGTGCTCACGTCCTTCTGCATTTTGTAAACGTGTCAAAAGCAAGGGGTTTATTTTATTTTATTTTATTTTATTTTTTATAAAAACGGGGTTTCACCATGTTGGTCAGGCTGGTCTTGAACTCTCGACCTCAGATGATCCACCCGCCTTGACCTCCAGAGTGCTTGGATTACAGGCATGAGCCACCACGCCCAGCCAAGCAAGGGGTTTTTAACTACATCCTGCTGGGACTGCTGCCTCCAGTGTTTCAGCTTTCTCCACCACAGAGAAATGCCAGGTGGCATCAGTGGGGCCACAGCCAGTTGAGCTGGCAACTCATTTAATGCGGATTTTTCCTGCTAATGTTCCTGTGGTCCCTGCTTTCTCTGTGTGTGGTGTGGTGCCATCCTGGCACAGGAGTGGCTTCCAGGAGCATCGGTGCCATGCCAGTATCACCACAAAGGGCCAGGGCCAGAGGGCATCTCGAGTATGAACAGGAACTACAGGCACTTGCACTGGAGGAGCTGAGTGAAGAAGAAATGAGGTCTGACATGAATGGAACCAGGAGACTTCTGCCTTTGGCCACAAGGGAGTCACAAGCTTTAGACTCTGCACCCACCATGAAGAACCAGAAAACGGCAAAACATCTAGAGCAGTGGTTTCCAGCACTAGATGGGGGTAGGGTATTGCTCTGGTCTCTGAGAGAAAAGACCCAAATGAGCTGAGTCCCATGAACACACTGTGTCTGGAGGCACAGCCCATGTGTGGAGGGGACCACACAGACTGCAGTGGTCTCGATGAGTGGAGGAGATGTGGATCCAGACTGGAGAGGCAGATGCAGCTGGATTTTGCAAGCCAGAGTGTCAGAGAAGAGGGAGCTACAGAGAGGGAGAGAGAGTGTCAGGGAATTCCCTTTGTGTCTGTGTTTGAACACTAAGATACACATACACCAAGTGAAATGCTATGGACTAAGCACAGAAACTGCTGGGGAGCAGTAAGCTGGGTGATTCCAGAGTTCACAAGGGACTAGGAGATGTTTGAGTTCTGACCATCCAGAGTGAGGAGTCCTTGTTAGACACTTGGGGCACTCAGCAGAGACCTCAGAAGGGTCACCCTTTAGAGGCAGGTCTAGACTAGCCCTAGATTACAACTATTCTAAATCCACTCTAACAAAGCTTAGAAGCAAACTGCAAAAGGGTTGAGATGATTGGCAAGTAACTTAAGTGTGCCAAAACACCCTCAAAAGGAAGACAGTACACCCCAGCATCCAACAACATAAAATTCACAATGCCCAGCATCTGGTCAAAAATCGCTAGACTGATAAACCAGCAGGAGCTGAAAGGGGCAAGTCAGAACAGAGGCTCTCTCATGTCCTCACTGCCAGTACCTCTTAGGAATCTTGTTTATTGCCTGGCATGTAGTAGGCACTCAATCCCTTGTCACTTTCATGATTATTACAGATGTGGGAAATTCTCTTGCCCTTAGTCACAGGCAGGGGATTTATTTCCCACCAATACCTAGTTAAACCAGAAGTCCTCACTGGTCAGGAATATAGTCAGCTAACACGATTTTCTTTAAAAAGAGTCCCCAACTTGCATACACTTCAGGCCGCACAAGATTGGATCTGCCCAGTGCAGGGTGTAGACCTGACTCAGACATCCTCCTCCTTGAGGGTGTGGGCTGACCCCTTTCTCCCGCATTCCACAGTCTAAAGCCTCCACATGGCTTTGCAAAATGTGCTCTCCCTCGTCCTACATGAGATCCAGGTGCAGCTAGAAGTCAGGAGAATGTAGAACAGAGTGCAGAGGGCAGCCAGGGGCAAGTGGCTCCCCACTGGAATCCCAGAGCTTTGGGAGGCTGAGGCAGGTGGATCACCTGAAGTCAGGAGTTCAAGACTAGCCTGGCCAACTTGGTGAAACCCTGTCTCTACTAAAAATGCCAAAAATCAGCTGGGCATGGTGGCAAGCACCTGTAATCCCAGCTACTCGAGGCTGAGGCAGGATAATTGTTTGAACCCAGAAGGAGGACCCTGCATTGAGCTGAGATTGGGCCACTGCACTCCAGCCTGGGTGACAGAGTCTCATTCTGTCTCAAAAAGAAAAAAAAAAGTGCAGAGCACCCAGCAGCAGACCCTCGCTTTCCTACTGCAGAGCCCACCTGCCCCCGAGATAGACCCTAAGGGCCTGGAGAGGCTCGGAGTCTTCACTGCAGTGTGGCTGTCCCTCTGGGGCCTCTGGACCTGGCCCAAGGGAGGTGCACCTGCTGTAGCACCTGTTTCTGTCTCTCATCTGCTTTTGCTCTGTGTGACTCAGGCTGTATGGTGTCCATCATGGGCAGAAGGAGACCCCTGCCGAGGATTCATGCTCGTGACCAGCAGCTCCGGGCACAAGCAGAGCGACAGGCAGTGAACTTCGTGGTGCAAGGTACCAGGAACCTCCTACCCTGTAGTTCTGTGTCCATTTGCTTCTTGGGGTTTGCAGCCGCAGGGCTGGGTGGCACCCACAGGTCATTGTGGTATTTCCTGCTCCTCACAAACCTCCGTGCAGGAGCTCGTGCTGCCTGTGTCCTGCCTGGCAGTTACTGTCAGGGACGTGAGGGAACACGGTCACCTTTGTAGCTAGGATGCCTCCCCCAAGAGCCAGGCCCAGGTGGCGCTGTTCCGCATAGCTGCAGGTGGGAAACTGAGGCTTTAAGAGTTTAGCAGACCTGGAGCTCAGTCCCTTGGCGCTTGGCCTAGGCTCCTCCATCCTCCCCATGCATGCCTGGCAGGGGTGAGGCTTCCGGAAATAAGGCACCCAAAACCCAAGTGCCCTGTAGCAGCAAGAGGGCAGGAGGAGTGAGGACAAGGTGGCTACCTGCGGTTGCCTGTGGTCTCGGCACTCAGACAGCTCAGAGCCCACACCTCTGTGTGGAGGCACTGTGGCAACAGTACCAAATGCTGAGTGCACCACGCACCGCGTGCCACGAGACTTCGACACAGCACCCGCGTGCCCCACAGGCTCCGCCGCTGACCTCTGCAAGCTGGCCATGATCCGTGTCTTTGCTGCAGTGGCCGCTTCCCGCACCTTGACGGCCAGGTCAGTGGGTAGCAGTTGGCCTGCCTGGGCCTCAGCCCTTCTCCGGGCTTGGATGGGAGGGTTGGTCTTCTGTGGGAAAACCCTCTGGGGGCTTGAGATTCCGACTGCCCACCATCTCTGCTCCAAGGGCCCCATCCCCTCCCGAGGCTCTCAGCCCATGGAAGGCCCTGGGAGCTACTCACAGCAGGCATGCAGGAAACAGCGGGCTGCCCGCAGCGGGGGGCGCAGATGAGGCCTCCCCTCCGCAGACAGAAATGCTGTCTCCCCCACGCCCCAAGGGGTGCCCACCCCACAGGCAGGCGAACACCTCAGCCCCTTGGGCAGGACCCTGGGGGCTCCAAACTGCCCCCACTCCTACCCGTGGCTGCCACCAGTGCCAGGCAGTGGTGCCCCACATCCAGCTCTGGCTGAAGCCCCAAGCCCCAAGCCAACATTCAGATGTGCCTCAGTGGTGAGGGCTCCACCGTGGCTGTCCCCCAGACCATAGGTATCTCAGGCCTCTGTCCCTGCCTCAGTGATTCCCCCAGGCACATAAATCAGGAGCTTGGGTAGTCAGGGAACAAGCAGCCCTTGCCCATCCATCTCCTCTCTACTAGCCACGGCCCTGGGGGTGCTGCATGTGGCCACCCAGACACCTCCTCTCCTCATTCTCCTCGTGGGGGGATCGCCCCAGGAATCTCGAAGCCCCTCCCAGGAGCTAACCTGCCTCAGCCCCAACAATGTCAGCTCCCAGAAGGGCCTGTTGCCCTCTGTCCCACCATGGATGTTTTCCTACCCCACCCTAAGGGCCCTCAAGCTCTTGGCACCAGTCCATTGGGGACAGCCTCTGCAGACCAGGTGCACCTGCCGCTGCAGACGCATCCGGGAGGAGGCCCAGGGAGGACAGAGGCAGCGGCTTATAGGGTAGAAGATGTGGCCCGGGCTTCCCCAGTGTGCCCAGCACCGCCTTTGGATTGCAGGTCCTGCCTACCTGTGGCCGCTCTTTTCTATCCGAGCTTACAACTTCCTCTTGACTTTTGATATTATTCTACATTCTCAAGGCATGGGTTTTTTGCCTTATCAGAGATCTCTCATCTCTGTTTAAAAGCAGCCTCCATGTCTTCACAAACTCCCTCCTGTCACTGGCTTTCAAGCCTGTGCTCTTCCGGGGATTTCAGCGACTTTGTGCAGAAGTGTGTCCCCACCACTGGCCCTGCCCAAGCTGAGGTTGATGCCCAGAAACGGAGAGCAGGGGTTGGTCCCTAAGCCCACTGAAGCCCACATGGCTCCTCCCCTTGCATCCTGTCTAGGTACTTCCTCTGGCCCACAGTCACCCTAAAAGCTCCAGGGAAAGGAAGCCCAGAAGGAGGTCGCAGCCCAGGCTGTCATCCCAGGGAGGGAGGATACCTGAGGCCTCACAGGGTCTGAGCACTGCCCCAGGCTCTGCTTGCAGACTCACTGTGGCTGTCAGTGCTGCTCGCTGCAGTAACTGAAGTGATCAGGAGGCAGGAGTGGGGCATCAGAAGATCCACTCTCAGCTGGGCGCAGTGGCTCATGCCTGTAATCCCAGCACTCTGGGAGGCCGAGGCGGGTGGATCACTTGAGCTCAGGAGTTTGTGACCAACATATTTGTTGCCTGGGCAACACAGTGAAACCCATCTCTCAAAAAAAAAAAAAAAAAAAAAAAAAAAAGCCAGCCGTAGTGGTGCACACCTGTAGTCCCAGCTACTCAGGAGGCCGAAGTGGGAGGATCACCTGAGCCTGGGAGGTCGAGGTCGCAGTGAGCCCTAATCACACCATTGCACTCCAACCTGGGCAACAGAGCAAGATCCTGCCTCAAAAAAAGAACAAGTCGGTTCCCTTTCAGCCCTTGTGGAATTGGCACCAGAAGTTGGCATGTGAGGAGCTGGGTCTCTGTTGCTGGCTGAGTCCTTCTGAAAGCTGAACAGACACTTCTTACTCAGGAACTGGTCACCCGCTGGTCATCTTTCTATCAGCCGTAAGCTGTCTTGAGGAAACGCTTCTCATAGCAAAACGCAAAGCAGACTTTTGTGGAATATTGGGCACACCGCCGTCTGCGTTTTGTGTATGTGATTTCTTCCAGGACTAACGTGAAAGGCTGTGGACGGCATCTGGAAGGAATGGTGAAGGCTCAGGGTGGCCTGGCATCTGCCTGAAGGGGCAGGCGTGAAACTCGATCCCTGGGAAGTACATGGTGCTCCTAGAGCCTCATCTGGCCACCCCAGGGGTCTACCCAGGTGGGCTGGGGCCACAGGACACTCCCCATTCACACCCACAGTCCCTGTGACAGGGAAATGGCATTCCTTCACGCCTCTTGGTCCAGATCCTGCAAAGACTGGAGAGGTTGGGCCCAGAGCAGGAGGCTGGCAGCCGGTGTTCATAGGCCTCTGTGCCAGCGCTTGGCTCTCCGGTCTGTTCTGACGCAGGCCCTTTATGAAAAGGCCTTCCTGGGTTTCAGAAAGTGTCAGTGCTCCTGTGCTCCTGCCCCCGGGCCTTCTCAAGGTGGGTTGGCACAGGGCCACCAGGCCTCAGTACTCTCAGGATGAGTCCTCAAAGCAGCTCAGCAGGGCTGGGGACGTCCCTTGCAAGGGAGCTGCAGGCCCCAGACAGGACGATATGGTGAGGCTCTTCTGGAACATTCTCCTACTGGTGCAGTGATCTCAGTCAGGCCGTCCAGATGCAGGGCATGGCAGCTCTGTGGGCCGACCCCTCAGGAGCAGGGATGAGAAGTTGCAGCAGAGGCCCACTCCCTTCCGGAACACAACAGATCCGAGGCCCGGCATCCGCCCGCCCCACACGGAGACGACAGACGTCCTTCTTCATCTTCCTGCACCCTGTTTCCCAGCTGGGAGCGCGGTCATGTCTCAGTGGCTGCGAGGACAATGTGTGACTGACAACCACACCTATTCTTAGGTTCCTGCCACACCAGCAGCTCGGAATTTCACAAGGTGATTTCAACAAGTGCGAAAACCGCTTCTGCTAAATCTGGAAAAGGTTACAAGTGCCTTTTCTGAGGCTTCTGCCCATTTGAAAAGTAAGTCCTCTTGGGAGCCAAAAACTTCTGCTTGAGGCCTTGAAGTTAGTGTAAGGAAAGCTTGCTGGTGCTGACAGCTGGGGCTCTCTTGCCCCTCTGACTTCTGGAAGGTCAGTGCCCACGTTCCCTGGCCAGAGGCTGCACGTAAAGCTCAAGCCCACCTTCCCTCCCTGGGGCAGCCTGAGCGAGGGCATGAGCACCACCGTGCCACAGACTGGGCCCTCGTGTCCTGTGGATGTACACCACGAGGATGTGCACTTGGCCATCAGGGACACAGGCCCAAGCTACAGCAGCTCAGGCTCCAGAAGGCAGCTTTTTCTCCCATCGTGAGAACTCCAGAGAACAGTGGGTGCTGACTTTCCTTCAGAGGCTCAGAGCGGCAGGACTGAAGTCCCTCTGGCTCCTTGGCCATTCCCTCCTGGTGCTATGATGGAGGTTGCTGCTCCAGCCATCACACCTTCCAGGCAAAATGAGAAAGTGGTAACGGTCAGAAGAGCATCTGTCCCTGGCAGCCCTTCAAAGTCAGCCTTTTAAAGAGCCTTCCCTTCTAAGAGCTTTGCTGGAGTCTCCTTTTCCATCCCACTCCTTACCTCCGTCCCTGCTAAGGGAAAAAAATAGTAATAGCCTCCTTGAAAGTTGAAGGGAATAGTCCTGGGCAATCCTGCCTGAGACAGAGCCTGGGAAATGTCCTTTGTAGCTGAAGACACAGCCCCACCTCCACCCCACCCACCCAGCAACAAAGGGGCCAACATGAAGGAAGAGCGGAAGAGCGGACTGGGGCAGGTCACCTGAAACTCTGCTGCAAAGTCCACATCTCCTGTGGAAAGTGAAAGCACAGCCCTCCTGGATCCTGGGGCTTGAAGGCCGCCCCGAATCCCAGCTGATCTCCGCCACGTGCCCGTGACCACTGCCCGGTGAGGGCTTCCATGCAGCCCAGCTCCTTAGGGCCCTGGGCCTGCTGTGCCCCCTTCTGTGCCTGCCAAGGATGGGCAGCAAGGGCAAGGATAGGATGTGACCCCTGCCCCTGAAGGCAGAGCCAAGGTCCCACAGAGGACAGAGTGCATGGGACCCCTTGACACCCCATCCTTCCCAGCAGCTCATCCTGTGAGTCACTCACACTACACGTACCCTCCTGAGGGCACAAGGTGAGCTGCCTGCGTCCACCCCTCAGGAGGGGCTGACACTGGGTCTGGCACATCACCAAGATTTGAGGCATCATCTGCCCGAGGTGTGTGTCACCGGTTTGCAAGGAGTGTGTGGAGCAGCAAAGCACTGGCTGAATCCAGCCCTGGTGGGGTCTGTGTGGCCGTCGCGGCGCAGCTCGTGAGCCCGTGAGCCCATGAACCCGTGATCCGTCCGCCTTGTACGCACTTGCACTTGAGTTTGAATCTGTAAGACCCACCCCAGGGACCCACCCTGCATTTCACCTGAATCTCCTCCCACTCAGGTCTGACTTGTCTCCCTGACACCCTGGGAGGGGCACCTGAGGGGCTCCAGGAAAGAGGCTGGGGAAGGGTGGGGCCTAGCTGGGGCTGGCTGGATGAACCCCAGAGCAAGGCCTTCAGTGCAGGAGCCGGGAATGAGCACCTAGCCTCTCCGAGAGGCCCTGAGGATGCAGGAAGCCAGGATGTTGTCATGAGGCTCAGCCAAGTCAGGGCCCCACAGCAGTTCTCAAGGGGCTGTTTCTCCATCCCTGTTCAGAACATGAATTGCTCACCCCCACGGGACCTGCCTGGCTGTGGCAGACATGGGGCGCCCAGCCTCTCCTGCTGGGCGTGCCACCTGCTTCCTCGCCGATGACCAGAGTCACTTCTGACCAGCCTGTCTCCCTATCGCCCCTTTCCCCAGCTTCCCAGAGCTGTCCTAGTGACAGTGGGTGGCCTCAGGCAGTGGTGCCCCTGGGCTGGGTCCCCCCGGCTGTGCCTCACAGAGCCACGTTCTCTCGGGCCCTAGTGCCAGAATCCCCTTTCAGAAACCTTGGGGATGGTCCCCCGCCCCAGAGTCCTGGCCTCCCAGGGTGACTCCCTCCCTCCTTGCCAGGCTGGTGGCCCAGATCCATGACGAGCTGCTGTTTGAAGTGGAAGACTCGCAGATCCCGGAGTGTGCAGGTAGCCCGGGGCAGCACAGGGTTGCCTGGACTTCACCACCGGCTAAGGGGAAGCTCCATGGCCCATGGCACAGCCCAGGAAAGCCCTCCTGGCTGTCGGCCCTTTCACAGCACCTGCTCCACCTCGTGCTGCTGTGTCACCTGGGTCCTGGCAGGCAGAGGGGCCAGCCTGGGTGTGGGGACCCTTGAAAGGCCTCAGTGGGCTCCAGCCTGGGCCACCAGCCTCCCAGAGAGCACCGGGTGCTGTAGCTGACCGAAGCTCCGGAGAGCAGCTGCAGATACCCAAGGCCTCCGTGTCTTTGGGGTCTGGAAAGGTGGGGAGTCAGCACTGGTACCACCCAGGCTGACTGGGGACCAGGCTGCAGAGCTGGCAGCAACTGTTCTTGTTGGGGTGTTGGAGTCCTGAGGCTCCCCAGGCTCAGCACGGACTTCAGGCCTGGGTCCCATCCTGCCCCACAGGCCACCCCTCTCTGCTGAGCTACATGGCCCACAGGTGAGTGTGCTCAGGCAGTCACCCCCAGCCATCAGCCCAAGGGGTTCTTTGAAACCAGGGATCTCTCTCTCCCTAGGGAGGGCCAGGACCTCCCCACAACACCCAGCCACTGGTCCCAGGGAGGCTCCCATTGTGGCCTCATGGGTGAGATGGGAGAGCAGGCGCCCACGTGGAGCTGTGCCCCCAGCTCTCCAGGCCAGGTCTGTAACCGGCTGGGGCAGCTTCACAGGTTGGGAGAAGAGGCACAGGGGACCTCAGGGCTGGAAGCTTCAGGCACCAATTCCCAGGGGGCAGTCACCATGCCCTCCTAGCCCCACCCTCTCCAGTTCTTACCCTTAGGGATGTGAGGCTCCCATCCCCGGTGCCCACCCATCCTGCTCCATCCTAAAGCAGGGCTCTGCCACTTGAAAACTATGTCCAGCAACTCATTTGAAAACACACCCATCTTACGCGACCATTTAACAAGTATAACGTGTGCTCAGCTGTAGGTTAAAAAAGGAAAGAAAACGTTCCCAAACGGCCTTGTTCCTGGGAGCAGCTTCCTCCAGCTGGCCTGGCAGCTCCTGAGGCAGGCGGCAGCCCGAGCCCTGCTCTCTCAAGAGCACTTGGGGCCAGGACTGCAGGGCCTGGGGAATCAGGGGTCGGGCAGGGCCTGCACTATCCCTGAAGGGTGGGGGTCAGGTCCTGCCTCCCAGGCGATCTCTAGCACCTGGCGTCTCTGCCCTACCTGCCCTCCCAAGGGCCCCACAGGGAGCGCCCTAGCTGAGTGCCAGCCCAGACCCACACTTGCTGCCCCTCTCTGAGCAGCAGTTGCTGGGGATCACACACTCTGTCAGCAGCACCACCCCACCAGGTACAGAGGAGGGACCCATTCTCTGCACACCCAGGGTAGCTCCAGCCAGCATGGGGAGCCAACCATCCAGCTTGGACTAGGCCATCTCTCCAGCCTTGCCCCCATAATAAGCTCCCCAGGATGGCTGAGGTCCCTCTTCAGGGCTCCCCACCATGCACACAGGCTGCGTGCCCACCTGCTGGCCGACAGCTCCCTGCAGACAGTGATCTGCTCCTTCACAGAGGACACTGAGGGCCACAGAGCACAGGCGGCCACTGGCCCTGCTCACGACACACCAGGGACAGGTCCCCAGGGAGGCTCCGGCTCTGCTGGGGCCAGGAGGGGAAAGTGAGGCAGCGCCCACCACGGCTCGCGGCTTCTGCCACCACCTTTGCATTGCGGTGTCACACAGCCCAAAAGGACTAAACGAATGTTTATCCGGGGGCCCGAGGGTTCAAAGTAAGCCCGGAGAAAGCCTGAGCTTGTGAGTCCTGCCCCCTACCCCTACCCAGGCCTTCCCTTTCTCAGGGCTCTGAGCCCTACTGTGCACGGTGACCCAGGTCCCCACAAAGAGGCCAGCCCACCCGTGGCACAAAGCCACGATTGCGTCAAACTTCACCCAGCAGTAGTGGGGATGGGCTTCCTGCAGGCCTGGTGGCTCTGGCTGGTGGGGGCTACCTGTGCCTCCCCCTCCTCCCAGCCCCAGAGCTTCTGGAACAGAGCTGGCATGACACCTGCCCCACCCCACGACCCCCAGCTGGGGCAGGCTGACCCCAAGGGGTAGGGGTGAGGGCCAGTGCAGCATGGCAGGCCAGGCCAGGAGGAGGGGCTGCAGCGAAGGCCAGGGGGTCTGTGAGAGGCATCCTGGACTGTGGACGGGGCCAGGGAAGCTGGACCCAGCCTCAGGGCTGGGCACACAGGGGCTACTTGTGGGCATCGAGGCCCCACAGCTGGTCCGGGTGACCGAGTGGACACAGGAAACAAGGGGGCTGGGGGGCTGGGGCAGGACTCGGGCCTGGAAGTTCCCCAAGGCCAAGAGACCAGCGGGGCCACCTTTTCTCCCGTGCCCTAGCTCTCCTCAGGAGGACCATGGAGTCCTTGGAGCAGGTGCAGGTGTTGGAGCTGCAGCTGCAGGTGAGGGGACACCCAGCCCTGCTGGGTCTCGCAGAGCCCAAGGTGAGGGAGGCCCGCGCCCCAGGGCAGAAGAGCCAGGCCACAGGGTGCAGCCCCAGCCCGAGATGGCCCCTGCGGCGGTGAGATGGCAGGCCCAGCACGGGGGGCTGGGCAGTCCCTGAAACCCAGTAAGCCCCACCCAACTCTGCTCACTTCAGTGAACAGGAACAGCAAGGCTGGACCCCTCCAGCCCCGTCAAGAGGGAGTGGTGGAGGCTTGGTCCACGCAGGGTCAGGGACCCGGGGGAGGGCTCTCTTGGCCTCTGGGAGCCACCGATCCTCCTGGGGAAGGACCTTGAGGGGCAAGCACGGGATGCCCCAGGACACAGCCACCCGCCCAAGGGCAACTTGTCTGCTGGCCGCAGCCTGCCCACTGGCACAGAGGCCCTGGCAGGTGAGGAACCTCCACCAAGATGAAGGTGTCATGACTGGGAGGTGGATGTGGCTGAGGCCTATTACTGGCGAGTGTGGTGAGTGTCCACGTGTATGCACTCGTGTGCGTGTGGCTGGTCACGTGCACCTGTGGGCTGCAGGTGGGGTCCCCCTGCATGGGGTCTGGGAGGTGGCTGGGGATGGCTGGCCCGGGCCTGGAGCTCACCTCTGCCTGCCACCCACAGGTACCCCTCAAGGTGAGCCTGAGCGCCGGCCATTCGTGGGGACACCTGGTACCACTGCAGGCCTAGGGCCGTCACTAGGACCAAGTCGCACTGAGTCTCCCAGCAACAGACTGGCTACCTCCGGGTCCCCCCTCACCCCCCCAACAACACCCGCCCCGCCCCCGCATTTTTCGCCTTCATTTTGTCTGTAGCCCCAGGCAACAGGGGGAGGAAAGAACTGGTTTCCAGCAGCCCATTGTGTGGCCTCCCCCAAGGTCACCAGCTCTGCATGCCAGGACGCTCCAGGATGCATTAACCCTTTGGGGCTGGGGTGGCCTGTTCTCCCCTGGAGTAAACGCCTGTGCAAAGCCCTCCTCATCCCTGTCTGAGTGAATTATTCCTGTAAGTGGGAAGTGCCGCGTCCACAACCCCCAGCCACTTGTTCAGAGCAGGGCTGAGTGCCCCAGATTGGGAGTGACCAAGGCTGGGTCTGGGCCAGACACTCCAGAGAGGGTAGGGAGTCCCAGCTCCCTCTCCCATGGATTTCAGGGGAGGGGCTCCCTCGAAGCTCAGCAGCTGCTCACCCCTGGCAGGTGCCCAAGGAGCACCTGATGCCCATGGTGTGCCCCCACTGGTTCCTTTCACTTCAGGAAGCCACGGTCCAGGCGCACACTGTCCTCCCAAGCCAGCCCAGCGTGCAGCCCTGTACTGAGACCAAGAGAACACAACCTGCCAGCAGGCACTGAGGCTCCTGGGGCTCATGTTCCTGATTGATACCTCAGGAGGACCAGAGGGCCACTCTATGAGAAGACCTGCCCACCCATTGCAGGCCTCTGCCAGGGATGTGGCCTGGGGCCACTGAGGACCTTCAAGGGCCTGGGGTCACGTGCTCTCAGGCCATGAGGTCTCTCCCGTGAGCCTCCTGCAAGCTGGTGACTGGTGGCTGCAAACAGGCTGGCTCCCCCCAGAGAGCCAGTGCTCCCAGCCACCCCTCCAGACTCTCCCATGGCCTTGCTGCCAGCCCAGCAGGACACCCGTGACTCTCCTCTGCCTCACAGCAGCCTGCGACAGAGGCACCAGCACCATCCCTTTGCACGTGGGGAAACTGAGGCACTAAAAGTCACAGAGCTTGAAAGTGTGCCAGCTAGGATTTCAGCTGCATCCTCACCTGATACCATGGCTCCCTGTCTCTATGGTGGTCCCTGGAAATGTGCTCCCGGGGTCCTGCTTTCAGGCCACCCCCACCCCTGGGTGCCCAAGGAGCCACCAGCTCGGATGCCTGTGGTGTGTCCCCACTGGTTCCCTTCGCTTCAGCTGCTCCATGTACTTCCTTACCCAAGTCTGGGTCTGGGCTCCAAGAGCCTCCCTTTAAGTGGGGTGTAGGGCTCCCAGCACCCTTCAGGGTTGCTTGCCTCTGGCTGCCACCCACAGAGCAGCCAGCACTGAGGCTCATCAAGGTACCATCTGCTCCTGGGGACACCTGGTACCACTGCAGGAGGCTGGGGGCGAGTATGTGAGGTGCAGGTGGTGCTGTGGGTTTGAGCAGTGGCCTCCCCTCTCCCATCGTGTGTGCCACACCTGCCCTCTTTTAGTAGGGGCTGTGTCACCCCCACGGCCTCCCTGTGCCCACTGGACATGGGTTGTCTTTTCCGGGGAACCTGGGTCATCACAATGGACTGTGCCCAGGACGTCACCACTGTGGTCTGAGGATGCTAGAAGTCTGTTCCCTCTTCCCTCTGATTATGCAGCATTCGCCGGATAGTGTGTGTGCGGGGCTGGGGAGGTGGGGACAGCTGTGTCAGATCCCAGCCCTGGTGCTCTGCCACGCCGGCCCTGCCCCTCCTGGCACTTCCTGTCCCCCTGGGGGGAGCCAGGTGCCCATCCTGTGACTCAAGGAAGCATTTGGGGCCGGTTTCTCCCCAGGAAGAGGACATCCACACTGCCCCAGACAGCCTGATTTTCTCCTAGCTTCAAAAACACTTTCACTGCCTCCCACGTGTGTGTGTCCTGGATGGCCGGGCCTGCCCCAGTGTGATGGGACGTCCCAGTGATCCAGGGAGCTGCTCAGAGCCTCTGCTGGGGCCTCCTGCTGGGGCGGCGCTGCCCCTTGCCTGCGTTCTGTGGCAGCACTCTGAGCCCCACCAGGCCTGATGCAGCCGCTGCACGCAAGCCTTCCGTCCTGCCGCAGTTTCAGCGGGATGCCCCAGGTGGGCTTTGCTGAGCCCAGGCCAAGGCTGCATAGTCCTCCAGGCTGAGGGGCAGCCCTGCCCTTGGGAAGAAGCTTGCAGCCTCGGGTACCTCCAGGCTTCCGGCCAGAGAGCCTGGCAGCGGGGGTGCGGAGGGTGGAGAAAGCGGAAGCGGGGCCACGGAAACCCCTACCAGGAAAGTGGCCCAGGGGACTGGGCAGTACAGCTGGGAGACCCCACGACTCCAGGATTCCTTCTACCAACAAGACTGGCATCCTGACAGGCACCTGCCAGGGCAGGGATCTGTGTCCACCCCATGCCTCACTGGCTGTGAGACCCCCCCACACCCTGCTCCCCACCAAGGCGCTGGACGGCAGCACTCTCAGCCTGGACCCCAGACCTGGCATCCTCCCTCACAAACACTGGGAGTCACCCCCATCCTGGTGGACTCTGATGGCCACTCAGCTCACACCCTTCCTTGGCACCACTGTCTCCAAGGGAGGGGCCAGGCAGGCAGGCAGCTGCTGGGGCTGCCAGGGCCAGGAGGACAGGGCAGGAGGGCGTGGTGGGCCTGGCCAGGGGTCCAACTAGGGTGGCAAGGATGTGGTGGGGGCTGGGCGCCAAGCTGTCTGCCAGGAGTTAGGGTGCCTAGGGTCCCAGCACAGAGCTGGGTGATAGCAGGGCCCATGAGCCACTCACAGGATCCTGGGTGTGAGAGAGAATGGGCAGAGCCCACCCAGCTGGGTGCCTGCTGGGATGGAGCTTCAGCAATGGGGTCACCACCACCACCACCACCCCCACCTCCCGGATCACACTCTCTCCAGGCTGCAGTGCTGGCTATGGGACAGCCTGGCCAGGTGTAGGGGAGCCAAAATGAGGAAAGGGGGTGGCCAGGGGAGAAGGGGAAGGTGGTAGGGGCCAAACAGGGCAACCAAGGGTGGGGGCCCACCTCCCCGAAAGCCAGTCCTGCCGCAAGTGGACAGTAAGCACCCCAAGAGAGCACAGGAGCCAGGTGCCTTCAACTCTGGTTTTATTGAAAAACAGCAGCATTGGGAGCCATTAAGGGGAGGGGTGCACACCCACCCCAGGCCCCCGCAGCCCCTCTCCTCAGAACTCGCTCACCCCCACCCTGGGGGCTGTTTTGGCACATCTGGGGCCTCAGGACAGTCTGCCCCCGCCGTGGGCTCACAGTACAGTTTCAGGAACGAACAGCAGCAGGTGAACCCCACCCCTGTGCTCCCCCAGCCTGGCCTCCCTGGACCTGCCCTGGAGCTGCTCAGGCCCTCCACTGAGGCCCTGCCCCACTGAGGGGCAAGGGGGCCAGGGAGGCTCGGCCTGGGGCTGGGGGCCCAGCAGGGAAGCGGTGGGGAGGAACCTGCTTCCCCAGGCACTGCCAGCCCCCCACCACCGGTACCTGCACAGCCACATATATGCAAGTACACACACAGACACTCATACACACCACATGCTCATGGAACACACAAACTCTGTACAGCTCACACCTACATCCATGCACGTGTGTGCTCACCCACACACCAGAACACACGTACTCACACACACGAGTACATACATGCCCACACACAAGTACACACACGTACACCCTATGCATGTGTACACATTCACACACATATGCCCTTCAGAGTACACAAGAACACCTGCATCACACAGGCATCCATGCTCATGCGTACACATGTACACATACGTGCATGCTCGTGTACACACATACATTCACATACATTCCTACACATGTACATTCATACATTCATAATACATTCATACACACGTGCATTCATACATGTACATTCATACACGTACACATGTGCATGCTCATGCGTACACGCGTGCATCCATATACATATATTCATACACACGTACATTCATACACACGTGTACACATGTACATTCACACGTACATTCATACACATGGACACAGGTGCATGCTCATGAGTACACATGTACATCCATACACATTACATTCATACACACGTACATTTATACACGTGCTTACACATATACGTCCACACATATGCACACGTACATTCATACACACGTGTACACATGTACATTTACATGTACATTCATACGTACACACGTGCATGCTCATGCGTACACATGTACATCCATACACATTACATTTATACACATGTACAGTCATACACACGTATACATACAGATGTACATTCAAACACGTACATTTGTACACACATTCATACACGTGCATTCACACACATACATGCTCATTCATATCCAAAAACACACGTATACTCATGCATACACACCCACACACGTACATCCACACACGCATGTTCACGTGTACACAACACATGAACATGTATGCCCACACGTGCACTCACACATGCATGCTCACATGTCCATGCTTAAGCATGCATACAACATGCTCACACTCATGCGCACGCACATGCTCACACATGCCCACATACACCACACATGCAAGAACACACTTGCACACATGCTCACACATGTACACATGCTCAAACGCGTGCACACACACAAGTATACCCCTTCTTCAAAATGGCTAATTATTGCTGTTTAAAAAAATACATCCAACAATGGTATGTCGGCTCACCCTCCTTCACCCAGCTGTGGCCCCGGGCAGCATCGCGCCACCTCTGGAAGCACAGTGGCTGTGGCGCCGAGGAGTAAGTGGATTCCAGGGTCCACCCGGTCTGGAACTCAAACCCCAGTGTCAGCTCTGTGGCCACCAGCCCAGGAACGCAGGCCTGTGGCCAAACAGAAGCAGCTTCCAAACAGACACAAGCAAGTCAGCAGGCAGCAGACAGGATGGGCAGCCACAGCGCCAGCCCACGGGGGACAGCAGCGGGCTCCCTCGGCACGGGGGCAACTCCGGCCCACTGTCCCTCAAGCTCTGACAGGAAGGTGACCCCACAAGGGCCCACACAGCCCCCTGCCCAGCGGGGCAGCCACCTTTGGCCCCCACGAAGCCCAGGCGCCAGCAGAGCCCAGAAACCCCAGTTCCCGTCTTCACGCCACAGGCACAGCCCTGGTGCCCGGGGCAGGCGGGCCAGACCCTTACGGCCCAGAGAGCTTCCTCCACCTGCCACACAGCCAGGAAGCTCCGGGCAGCCCCACGCCGTCCCCTCTGGCGCCTGCAGCCTCCTGCCACCTCAGAAGACACCCAGAGTAGGAGGGGGGTGGCC